CCTAACCCTAACCCTAACCCTATATATATTAGTCAGAAATAGCTAAACGAGCCAGGTCAAACAGAGGTCAGGGGGACATAGACCTTATCTGCAGCAGTGAGCTGTTGTGGTTATGATCCGGTGGTGAATACACATGGTTAATGTCATTTATCATGAGCATATGTATATATATACAAAACATATGCTCATGCTATTATTACTTTACCTCTGTTCAGGTTATTAGCATGATTAGTATTATAACCTAAATCATCGTATGCACGTAGAGTGAAGTGGGGACATTATTTTTATATTGCAAAAATAGTTATTACTGTATTACTTGCTAATAAAGTTACTGTAATATAACTGTTGCTGATCTAAAGCGTTTTTACTTCTTTCTGGTTGTATCGCCAAACTCGTTTTGTGAAAACATGGCAAAAGTTGTCTTTCCGCCTCCTTTGCCACTAGGCATTCAAGAATGTACATTAGTAATTATCTGTTACAACTTGCATGGTAATAATTTTTCATTGCTCAGTACCTTCAAAATAAACGTGTTTCCCAAAGGTGCATTATTAGCGCAGACAGCCCAAAGCGAGTATTTATTCTCTAGAACTATGAACTTGTATGTGGAAAACATACATGCAAGGTCCAGTGGTATTTTATCAATTTTCAAGTCGGAGAAGTCCTGGATAATATCAGGAGTAGATAATATGCAGTGAGCTTTAAATGTCCTGCATTATATACCTATAGGCTATAGACCCGAATAGTACGGTTATTATCATAGAAATAATATAGATAACTATCTACCTATCTATATATTATTTCTATGGTTATTATTATGGTTGACTCGACCTTTGGCGTACGATCCTTGCATATATTCGTTCCAGAACAGATACGATGTGCACGATATGGTTTGCTGAAAGTTGTTTATTAAACTGCAACATAACAACGTCCACTCGGGGACTCCAACCATTAACTCTACAAACCAATAATTATATTCTAGACAGCGCTGCTTATACATACATGTAGTAGACCGCACCACCGGGCGCAGGAATGCGATAATTAAAGATGCACCACCGGGCGCTGAATATGATAATTAAAGGTGCACCGACATCGTGCACTGCTTCATCCGTCACTGGTAGCTGAGAAATTGTATGCTCTGCCACAAAACTATTATTATTACCACAAACATATCTGGACTGTAGATACCTTCATGTTACTAGTGCTGAGAATATAAAAAAGCTGTAGAGATACACATAGAGATAGGCATGGTGATAAAAGTTCTGGCGTTTGGCGGAAGAAAGAGATGAGGGTCACTTTGGTAGATGACGACTGCATACGTTTTCACCGTAACTGTAAATCTCATTGTTAAATCTAGCAACGCTGATTCCCCAACAAACCAATCCGATTAATCAAAATGTTACAAACTGTGTCATTAAAGTACAATCATGTAGCTTGAACTCGCTACGCAAAAAAAAAAACACGAATTCATTTGTTTCACGAAGAACAATGGATAGAAAATCATCTGAGGTGTAATTAAAACTGTAGGACATAAAACACGATCGGTATCCGTTTCTGACAAATCGAAAAGTTTCAGCAATGCTGGACTAGTGGACTGGGAATGCTCGTTTTCAAAACACAAGCCGGCCTATATTCCCTACAAAAAAAACGTATTATATCGTACAGAACCTCAAACTCGTATGACACCAGAAGTGGTGACATAAAAGATTGGATGATCTGAACATATAACTGTGTGGTCAGGCCAACAGGACGACGAGAAGACGAACGGGGGAATGCATATCAGTCGACTTTTATCCGCTGGCTGTACAATTTCTGTTGTTCGGCTCTCCAGGATTCTTTAACCTTCATGCGCTTCAGCTGGCCATCCCTACAATAAATAATAGTAAACTCGTTAAATAATGTTAAATAATAAATGATTAACGATCGTTACATAATCATATCTCTCCTCTCAACCCGGCAGAGTCCCGTCCCCGCACCGGGAAAGCAGGAATCGTCAGCATCCCGTAAATCGTCTTCCGTGTCGCGATTAGTTGCAGAGGGATTCATCCAGGCTCAACTAGCGGAAACGCGGGAGGAGCTGCTGGGCGTGTTGACGGAAGCCTTGCTGGGAGACAAGATGGCCGCCACGTACCTGCTGTGCAACCTTGTGTCGTCCGTGTAAGTGTATACGTCAGTAGTAGTAAACTACTAATACTGCAGTAGTAGTATACCATCAAGAGTACATAATAGAGATTACTATCATGCAATCTCTATTATGCACTCTTGATATCATACATAGAGTGTAGATGAGTTTCAATTCGCAAAGCTCGCACTGAACGAGTGAGAAACCGGCTAGTTAACTAATGTGGGCCTTGTATTTTTTTGTTTTTTTATTCGAGTAATTATTATTACGTACGTTACAAACAATAAAATTATAGAAAAAAATGTGCAACTATTCCGCGGTCGTTGTATCATCAGCAGTCACGTCGATTGTACAGTTTTCAGTCTTTTTCAGACTGAATTTTGTCGACTGATCTTATGTGCCATGATGATTGAAGGTCTATCGTAGGTTCTCGTCCTGGTACTTGCCTCAAATAAAGCTGCTGCTTTGTCTGTTGTTGTTTTTTGCGGCGCACCTAAGCTTAGTCCCTCGAAGTTCACCGTGTTTTATGGTTGTAAATTCATGCGCCGTGTTTTCGCGAATGCTTTCCGCAGATACGCTAGACAAGACGTGTTGGCGATGGGAAAGCTGAGTCTGAATATTGCGGGAGTGCCGTCGCATTTTGCGAATCACTTTCACGGACTACTGCAGGAGATCGTCACGAAGGTGAAATCAATGTCAAACGACGCTCGCTTCCGTTTCTTTGTAGTCGTTCCATCGATGGCAGGTTCGAGTGTCAGTTTACGCGCAGTGACCTCTTGCAAACACTGTTCCTGGCTATAAACACTGTGTTCGCCGTGGTTAAATCCTAGTGGTTAAATCCTAGGGAGCTTTGTTGTTTGCTGCCATGTGTTGAGTAACCTCCCCTCTATAATCGATCTCTAATATGCATTAATAACAGTAACAGTAAAAATAAATAAAAACAAAGAAGAAATAATAATTATAATATAAACGGTGAATAATAATAATAATTATAATGTGAATATTAATCGATGATGCTAATAATAATAATAATAATGTGAATATTAATCGATGATGCTAATAATAATAATAATAATGTGAATATTAATCGATGATGCTAACGGTTCGTTTCTCGTTCTTCCAGTCGTTCCTGCTTCCGTTGACCCTGCAGAATCTCAATCAGAAGGCGTTCATTCCCAAGAAGGACTACACGGTGAATCGATTGACCAGTGGGCTGCTGCAGCTGAGCGATGGCACACACGTCGTGGTGGATGAGTCGGTGATGCAAGCAGGACAGCTGGACACTACAGGTTGGTGCATGCGTGTGCACGCACGCACACACGCATGCACGCACGTGCATGCACAGACGCACACACACACACACACACACACAC